GCTGAAATCAACCATAAACCTGTCAGAAATGTGACAGGGGCCCGTCACAGGCCCCTGTGAGGCTGTTCAGTCTCCCAAGGGGAGACTGAACCTCCAAGTATAAACCTGAACAGGTTCTTGACGGTGCCTCTGCACGGGCTGCAACCTAGCCTGGGACGCCTGCCCCACCACTCAGGTTCACCTCCAGAGGGCTTCCCCAACGCTCCCGGCAAAGCACTGGACCGCTCAGCCCAGGCCCACCCTGCTGGCACCTCGCCTCGCCTCACCCTCCTCCCCACCCACCCCAGGCTGGCCCACCCTCCCTCCCCCTCTCACTCACCGCCTTAACATTCTTGAACCCACAGGCCCTGCCCACCCACCCAGCTGCCGCCCACAGCAGGACCCTGCCTCAGCGGATCCACATCTCACGCCCACTCACGGCCCCTGCCTCCATCCCGTCTGCACCCTGGGGCCACAGTTATCGCCCTCAACACAGATCTGTGGGTGGCACTGTCCTGCTCTAGCACCTTTGATGGCTCCCTGCTACCCTGGGAACACAGTGCAAGCCCTGGTCCAGATTCCTCCTCTTACCTCACCTCTGCCACCCCGCACACACTGTTCCCGTCACCCAGCCGTGCTTAATGTACGGCTGGAGCACCTTCTCTCTTCCCCCCAGCCCTCCCTACCTTCGGCGGCTGGGCCAACTCCTATTCACCCTGCAGAGGCCCCACTCAGGTTCACCTCCAGAGGGCCTCCCCAACGCTCCCGGGCTGGGGTCTGTGGCCCTCCCCGGCTCCCCTCGTGCCCCCGAGGATTCTAAACGCCTTGTGTCCTCCCACATAGGCTGAGTCTTCCCAGCCGTGCGCTCCCAGCTCCAACCCCTCACCCAGTGCAGGCCACAGAGAAGCCCCTGAATGCATTCCCTCCTCCCCAAGATTCCTGGGCTTCAAGACCAGGGCTCCAGCAGTTCCAGCGAGACCAGCATTTGGACCCAAAGGCCCAAAAGAGGCACTTGAGGGCTTCTCAGAGCTGGACAGGCGCGTGGCAAGACCGTCTCTCCCTAGTTCAGAGTGTCTGCTCTACGCACATATAAAAATCATTTTAAAATGCTCACTGCACCCCGAGGGGCTGACAGGATGGCCTGGACCCCGAGGAGCCAGGGAGAAGGGGAGGGGACGCAGCCCACACAGGCTCAGGGGCCAGCCTTGGACCCCTGCCCTCCACCACCTGCTGAATTCCTCAGCATCCCAGGACCCCGATCCTGTCCGCAGCCGGCTCGTATGGATGTGGAAATGCCCTTGAAGTGCCCTTGACAGGACCTGCCAATGTAAAGGACGGGGACCTCCTCTGGGGCCCCTCATCCTAGAAACATTCATTCATGCTTAGGCCCTGTTCAAATGCCCCCTGGCCCTCTCCAAAGCCCTCCCTGGGCTCCAGACCGCGGACAGACCCCACTCTCCCGGGCCCACCATTCTCCCTGCCTGCTGAGCCTGTTGCTGGGGAAGGGCCCCCAATCTCTGTGCCACCCTCACCAGCATGTCCTGCCCCTGCCCTGCAGCCCTAAACACACACAGCGGGCCGTGACCACCCCCAGAGAGAGAGAATCGGGCCACGCTGGGGGACCTCAAGCTCCCGGCCACCAAGCCCAACCCCCATCCAAATAATCTGAACAGGCTGTCATCCATGTGGAGGCCACAGAGAGGACACGTCCACCCACGTGGTACCCCGAGCCACACGGAGCCCCCCGCACACCTGCCAGGTCCTGGTCACACCTGCCCGACCCCTCCCCCACACTCTCCAGGGCCCTCTCCTGACATCCAGTCACCGAGGCCTCAGGATGGGTGAAGGGGGCCAGGGTCGAGTTACTGCTCTCTGGAGTGGTCTGAGTCTGAGGGCCCAGGGGGGGTGTAGCCTGGGGTGCCAAGGGTCCAGGCTGGGACCTGCCCCAGGAGAGAAGATGCTGATTCCTTACATCCAAAACCCTCCAGGGCCTTCTGGGGACTCTAACCCACTCTCTGTCCCGGTGCCCACAGACTCATCGAGATCTGAATGCTGGCACCTTCGCAGTTCAGGTGACCCCTGTCATGGGCTGAACGGTGGCCCCAAAGGATAGGTTCACATCCTGGAGCCTATGACTGTGGCCTTATTTGGAAAAGGGTCTCTGCAGGTGTGCTCAAGTGAAGGCTCTCAGACAGACCATCCCCGAGTGTGGGGTGGCCTTAAATCCAACGACTGGTGTCCTACAGAGACGCCCCGTGATGCCGGAGCAGAGACGGGAGTGACGCGGCCACGAGCCCGGGCACACCTGCCCCCCCACCGGGAACCAGAACGGGCTCCCCCCAAGGTAGCCCGGCCCTTCCCCAACTTTGACTTTGAACGAAACAGTGAAGGAACAAATTTGTGTTGTTCTAAGGCCCCGGTTTGTGGTCATTTGCTACGTGGCCCCAGGACCCTAACTCACACCCTTCCTGGACCTGAACTAGCCGCCCTCCTCCCAGGACGGCCCGGGTCCTGAGTGGCCTGGTGCTCTGACCACACGCACAGGGGTGCACCGTTCCTTCCCACCCAGCCCTGCATCGAGTCCAGTAACAGCCTAAAAACTGGCTTAAACCAGCAGAGCAGCGGCAAGCTTGTCCCTGGAAGAGAACGGAGCCCAGTGGGACCTGCCGGGGGCAGAGGGTCGGGACAGGCTGGCCTAGCCACCCACCACCGTGTTCGGCCACCGTTGACCGGGTGGGTTTGGCCAGGGGCCTCCAGACAGCCTGGAGGGGAGATGAGGTTGCCCAACAGGGACTCTCTCTTGGTCCAGGGTCCCTCAGCAGGAGGGAGAATGTCTGGCCTGCAGCCTGCAGGTCAAGGCGGATCCGCTGGGCCAGCCCGGGTTTGTGGACGGAGCTAACTCGAGGCCTCGGGCAGAAGCACCAGGGCGGTCACGCTGGGGACCCAGGGAAGGCACAGCGGCTCGAGGTTCAGCTTCTGCCCTCGCAGGAAGTGCTGCTCCGATGCCTGGAATTGTTGACGATCGCAGAAGGAGCCCACCCACACCAAGAGTCGGAATTTTCAACCCTGAGGCCTCAGGGGAAAAATATCTATCCAGAGGGCTCTATTACATTATGTCCGGGCAAATAAAACGGTCTCCAAGGAATCGGTCCTCCTGGCCTGCCCCCGCTTGAGGGCACACGCCAGCACCAACCCCAGGTCTGAACCGCAGTCCTCAAAGCAGCCACAAGCCATCCTGTCTGAGGCTCAGCGCACAGGGATTCCGCAGTTCCAGCCAGGACGCTGGTCTCTCCCCCCGACCCTGCCCGGGGTGCCCCCAGCAGCTCCAGGGCCCCACATGGAGATCTCGGAAGGGAAGGGCCGCCACGTGCCAAGTGCGCTGTGCCCTGCGGCTCCCGGCCAGCCACGCAAGGGAGGGAAACAAAGCTGGGCCAGGGTCCCCTGCACCACCCGCTGCTGTCACCTCGGATGTACCAAAGACGAGGTGGCCCACGGCTTGTCCAGCAGAAAGGACTCTGGCCAATGTCCCGTGCACCCTTCCACAACAGCCCAGGCAGGCAGGCCGACAGCTGTGCTCACCCCTCACTCATACTCAAAAACTCCAGGTGGGAAATGCACAGGCCCAGCCGCGGTCAAGGCCCTTCGGGTGCTGTCTGCGGCCGCCCCACCAGCTCCAGGGCCACTGCGCCAAACTGCCCGCCCCAGAGGCCCACCTACGCCTCTGCTACATCAGCCCTCCCTGCCTCTCTGCCTCTCCAAGCTTTTAACCTCCCCCAAGCCCAGGACCAGGGAGCATCATACAATTCAGTGGCTACAGACATCTTGCTGCCTTGAGCAGGAACCTGGCCCTCACCTGCTTGTTCAACTGTTTGCTAAGCACCTTTGAAGCTTACATCTTGTTCCCTCAAAGGCAGGGCCCTGCGGGCTGCCCGGCTGGGCCGGATCAGCCTGTCCCACCTCACACACCCCTTGCGGAAATGAGGGGGCCAGATGCCCAGCACGCAGCACAACCGTGTCCTCTGTCCAGAGAAATCCAGGCATGACCAAGGCCCCAGAGCCAGGTGGGCCCCCATCCTGGCCATACCGAGCGTGTGCCAGACCCTGCAGTAGGCCCTGGCCATCTTCATGCGCTCATGAGGGTGCGGGTGGTAGAGAGGGGGGCGGTTGATGCCCCTTTACGGGGGTGGAGAGGTGGAAAGAGGTCGTCCCCGGCTTAGAGCCTCCATCCACCCTGCACACGAGGGAGGGGCCGATGATCCCCCTGACCAGGGTCCCAGGCTGAACGGAGGTGGGGATGCACAGCCCACAGACCGTGGCCCTCGAGGCCGCCCAGTTGGTCAGCAGGAGGCACTCGGCCGGCCGCAAGCCCAGGGAGGCCACGCAGATAGGCTCGGCCCCTCTGGAGAGGTGGAAAGGGACTTCTCGCTCCCCACGGTGACAGCAGGTCCACAGCGGCCCCCAACTTGGAGAACAGCAGGCTGGGGGCACTGGAACATCCCCCACTCCCACCACACCCCTCCCGGCCTGGAGGACAGCTTGCAGGAGCTCGGACACCACCTTGGCCCTCGGGACCCCGGCTCACTGCTGGGCCGCCGCATTCGGCCCCCACCTGTGGCGTCCGGCCTGGGAGGGCCAAGGGAGCTGGCGGGTCCACTACGGAGTTTCTCAGCACGTCCTCAATAAACGCACCTATTCTTCTTCCCCCTTTTTTTTTTAAAGCCAACCTGAGCCGCTCTGATGCTCTGTGGCCTGGGACATAGGCCCGTGAGCTGCCTCCGGGTGGCCCCTGCATGGGCTTCCTGCGGGAGGGGCCCTCCTCTCAGCCTCCAAGCACCCACCCTCCAACAGCAAGAACAGAGACAGCTGAGGGTCTGGGCTCGACGTTAAAAGACATAACCCTGCCGTGTCCCCGAGAGGCCAGCTGCAAGCAGGAGGGTCGGCTCTGAACCACGGTCGGGCCAGGAAGCCGGGAGGTCTGGGGCTGCCCCGCGGCCCAAGGTCCCCACGGCCCACATACTTACAGTACCCACACCTGGTCCCTCCTTCAAAGATGAACCCGCTGGGCACGGCCCCATAGCGCCGGAGGTCCGACAGCTTCCACTGCCCCGTGACGGCCGGAGGGACATCCCTGGCCACGACGAGGATGTCATTGCAGAGGTGCAGGGTGGCGGGTCCGCTCTCCAGCTTGGTGCCTGGAGCCACGGTCACGTGGAACCTGTGCACTAAGGGCGGGGCAGGGGCGAGAGGGCGTCGCTGGGGCAGAGGCGGGGGAGGGGGGCGCAGCATCCCAGGGTCAGCTCAGAGGGCAGGTCTGCCCCACCCGGCCTCCCAGCGCAGCGTCCAGCCCCGAGGTGGCTACATTCACCTCTCCCATCCTCAGGGGGCCCCCTCCCCATCCTAACTTGGCCCCGGCGAGCTCCAGTAAAAGCTCACATGCAACTCCTGTTAGGTCCGCGACCTCAGGACTCCTGTTCACAGCACGTCCTCTGAGAACCCCCGCCAAGGGTAGCTGCTGTGATCCCATTTCAAAGATGGGGAAACGGAGGCGCAGGAGGCCCAGCCTCCCGTTGGTCCGTGGAGAGTCTAAGGTCTGCCTCACAGCCCAGCCTGACCACAGGGACGCTCGGGAAACCGTGGACCCCCTTCCCTCTCCAGTTAGGGGTTCTCCCTGGCTCCGAGCAGGACAACTTGCTCCCCGAGATCTCATCCACTACCTCGGCTCGGCGCTTTGCCCCGAAGCCCCTCAGAAGGATGGTCTTCTCTCCCCACATGGCTCCCACCTCGGAAGAGGGTGCACCCCGGAGTAGCCGGGACCAGGAGTGGACGGCGGCCTACCCGCACGTGCCTACCAGCCTCATCTCCAACCCAGAGGGGCCCAGTCCCAGCCCCACCTCCCTCTCCCTGAGCCTCACCCAAGCCCCTGCAGGAAGCCCTGAGGGCCTGCCGTGCCCGGCCCAAGGAGGCTGGGGGTCAGCGACCCCATCAGTGTCCTCGTGATTTCTGGCAAGGTGCCAAAACAGTGCGCCAGCTACCTCTGTGCAAGGGCCCTGCCTGCCCCATAGCAGAAAAGGAGCCGTGCCCTGAGCCAGGCTGAACTGGCGGGAACCCCCAACCGCAGAACTTTCTGGAAAGGTGCGGCTCTTCCCTTCTGCCACTGCATCCCCTCACTGAGCCGTCCACATGTCCCCAGACTAGGGGACTGCTCTGGGGGTGCCCGGAGGTAGGAGGGGCCGCAGCCCGCTAGCCGGGCTGGGCCGGTGTGAGGTGAGCAAGGGCCTTACCTGGGCACAAAACAGTGGCCCAGATCACCGACATTTTAATGATTATTTAGACAACAAAGATTAATGCAAAAAGCCCACGGTGAGCGAAACAGCAAATGTGTGAATCGAGACCAGGCTGGCTGTGGCGCTGGGGCAGCTGAGGACGGGAATGTCTGAGGGTGGCTCGGAGCCCAGCTTCACTCTAAATTCTGACACTTTGTTCGTCACGGACTTTTGGCTTTAATTTTGAATTTTTAAAATACAGTGTTAAAATATCATGGGTTTCGAGATAAATTAGAACGTGGGGATTAAAATATACACACTACTATATATAGAATGGGTGAACAACAAGGACCTACTGTATAGCACAGGAAACTATACTCATTATCTGTAAGAAATTATAATGGAAAAGACCATGAAAAAGAAGAATATACGTCTATGTGTGTAACTGAACCACTTTGCTGGACACCTGAAACTAACACAATTGTAAATTAACTCGACTTCAATTTTTTAAATTTTTTAAAAAAATATCATGGGTTCTGACGGCTCAGCTCGGGGCCCGCCCGCCTCTGCTCACACAGCCGGGTGGGCAGCGGGGCTGAGAGGTGGGCTGGGTCCCCCCATCTCCCAAGAGCACTCCCCGCACCCCGCTACTCCCCTTGAGGGACACGCGGGGGACGGTGCTCCCGACACCGCACCTCTCCTGCTGCCCCGGCTCTGGGCTCAGGCAGCCCGGTAAGAAGCCAAGGGTAGCACTTGTGGATCACCCTGCTTAGCCAGCCGCCCGCTGGGGCTAAAAGCTCTAGTTCAGATGAATGGGGTCAAAAGTTAGGGAGCTCAAGAGGGGCCAGCCACCCCGCCCCCCGCCCCAATTGCGGCCGAGCGGAGGGCGCTCAGCAAGCACTGGGCTCCGTGGCCTGGAGTCACGTCCTGGCCTCTGCAGCCCGTCGGTGGGGCCCGCGGGACGCTTCAGGACAGAGGCTGGGCCCCCGGAGCCCCGCACCGGTGTCACTCACCCTCACCCAGCGCGTGGCGGATCCGGGCGTCCCAGGCACACATGGCCTCCCGGCTGTCGAAGCCCAGCATGACGGCCTGCGACAGGCAGACGATGGCCAGCGTGTGGGCCAGGCCCTCGTAGGGCAGGCCGGGCTCCAGGCCACAGATGTCCTCCAGCGCGAGGCTGCTGCGCTCCCGCATCCCTCTGGCTCGCTCTGACCTGTCCTTGTAGGCCAGCATCAGCAGGCAGTCTGTGGAGGGCGCGGGGGGCCGTCAGGCACGCAGGCCCAGTGCAGCTACCGCCCCAGCCCCGGCACCCCCTCGCCCGAGAGTCTGGGCCCCGGCCACCCTGCACCTCCACCTCCTCGTGTGCAAGAGGGTGACCCCACCCACACGGCCCCGGCCACACAGCGGAAGTGGGCTCAGAACACCCCCTGGCTGGCCCGCCCACCTGACCCTGGCCCCCAGCCAGGGCCTCCGGCCTGCCCCAGACCCTGGGGCCATGGGGGCCACACTCAGGCTGCTGGCAGGACAGCACGGAGCCTGCCCGGAGCCTGCCCGGGGACTCAGGCCTCCCGCCTTGGCCCTGCAAGGGTGGCTTCCTGCCACACCCAGACCCACTTCACCTCCTGGATTTCTCCGTCTCCAGGGTGTGAGCTGGTCTCCAGCGCCGGGGAGGGCAGGAGGGCCACTGGGCTTGGGTCCCTCTGCCAGACCCGACACGAGCCGCCCCCGAGAGCCTGCAGGGGACGCGCCGGAGTCTGTCTCAAGTTCCCATTTCCCTCAACACCCTAATCGCTGTGCTGGTATCCCCGCTGCTCCTGGCCGCCTGTGTGGCCCTGGAGAACCGCCCTAGATCAGAGCACAAGCGACCCTCCTAAGTGCGCCCAGTGCGGCCACCGCCCAGTCTCTGATGAAGGTGAGGAGTCCAGGGCCTAATGTGAACACCTGAACACTGAATGTCGGACAGCCCTGAGCCCCTCACGGACGCTCGATGATCAAGCCCCCTCGTCCGGGCAGGAGGGGACGGACCGGCGGGCGCGGGAGGAAGCGATGAACTGCTTTCCCCGGCCCAACCTCCAAACCGTGGAAAAGCAGCGCCACAGACGCAGGTGACAACCAGATCCCGACGAGCTTGACTCAAGACTCATCTTTCCCACCAGCGGAGAACAAGGGTGGTGCTTCCTGCCTGTTTGCCATCAAACCACAGCCACAGCCCCTTCCTTATGAAGGCAGAGAGTGGACAGTCTGTCTCGGCCACCCATGTCTGCCGTCGGGCGTGAAAGCAGCCCCAGGCAGTACATAGACCAGCCTGGGTGACTGGGCTCCGAAACGCCTGTATTTACAAAATCTGGGGATTGCGATGGGGGAGCTCCACTTCCTATCTGAGACCCTGTTTGTAGTGTTTGGAATGCTTATGTCAGAGAAAAGCACAGGTGTTCTCATTTTGAGGGAAACAAACAAAACCCCAGAACCCACAAAAACCCATCTGCCCACCCAAGGGTTCCAGCATGTTCTCTCCCGAGCATGGCTCCCTTAGGAAACTCGTGGCCCGGCCCGGAGAGAAATTAGTCACACACGTGGCATGAAGGGCATGTGTTGTTATGGAAGTGTTCCCTGATGTGTCACCAGAGGCCCAAGAGATAAAAGCTTGGGGAGGCGGTGAGCACAGTAAGACTCCCAGTAAAAATGTGTGTGGCCAAAAGGAAGCCACCGAGGCAGCTAGGGAAGGGACCACAGGCATGAGGACAGCCCTGCCAGCCACACGGGCTGCCCCACCCCAGACACGCTGACCCCTCTGGCCACTCCTCTCCCCAGGGAAGGCCGGCATCTCTCTCGGTGGCTTTTCTAGGTAGCTGTCTGTCCCCTATTTCCAGTCTCTCCACTCCCCACCCTGGAAGGTGAGCTCTCGAAGGCAGGCCCTCTTCTGCTGGAGCAGTGACAGCCCCATCACCAGGCACAGACGAGGGTGAGGGCCTTCTGTCACAGGAAACACCATTCGCTTTAGTTGTGGCCTTAACAGCAAGGCAGGGCCAGACTGTCACTCCTTTGTTCTAGGAGTTATGCTCCCAGTGATATAGCCAAGAGCAAAGTCCATAACCCTTTCTGTGAAGAGTCAGACAGTAACTGTTTTCGGCTACGTGGACCACGCAGTCTCTGTCACAACTACTGAACTGCGAAAGTAGCCACAGACCACACACAAGTGAATGGCTGTGTTCCAATAAAACTTTATAAGAGAAACAAGCAGCGGGCCGGATTTGGCTCAGGGCCCTGGTTTGCCGACTCGTGGTCTAGAGCCTAGTTTGCTACGAGCCCCTGTGTCTCCCCATACGTCACGCTCCTCAGACGCCTCCTGCTGCCAAGCAGGTCTTGCCACCCTGGACACCTGCACTTGCGAGGCTGGCTTGGGGACCTACTTACAAGAGCCAACGTGTGTCCCTGAGACCCTTTTCCCTGGGCCGGTACAATCTTTCTGGATCCTGGCTCTATCTGAAATGCAGCTCACATCCTACTCCTTACAGAGATCTGAGAATCAATGTGTACCCTCACCCGCCTGCAGTGGGGTGAATGGGGGCCCCCCAAAAGACATGTCCACGTCCTGACCCCCCCAAGTCGGCAAACATGACCTTATTTGGAGAAAGGGTCTTTGCAGACGTGAACAAGGTAAGGATCTCAAAATGAGTCACCCAGGATTATCCGCGTGGCCCTAAATCTAAAGACGAGTGTCTTGGGACTTCCCTGGTGGCGCAGGGGTTAAGAATCCGCCTGCCAATGCAGGGGACACGGGTTCGAGCCCTGGTTCGGGAGCATCCCACGTGCCACAGAGCAACTAAGCCCACGCGCCACAACTACTGAGCCTGCGCTCTAGAGCCTGCGCGCCACAACTACTGAGCCCGCGTGCCACAACTACTGAAGCCCGCGCACCTAGAGCCCATGCTCCGCAACAAGAGAAGCCACCGCAATGTGAAGCCCACGCACCGCAATGAAGAGTAGCCCCCGCTCACCACAACTAGAGAGAAGCCCACACGCAGCAACGAAGACCCAACACAGCCAAAAATAAATAAATAAATATATTTTAAAAAACCAAAGACGAGTGTCTTTATAAGAGACAAAAAAGGAAACACAGATGCACAGAGGAGAGGCCACAAGAAGACAGGTCACAGTGACGTGCCCACAAGCCCAGGAGGCCTGGAGTCGCCCGAGCCGGAGGCGATGGGAAGGGTGCTCCCCAGCACCTTCAGCGGGAGAACGCTGCTGGATTTTGGACTTCCAGCCTCCAGGACTGTGAGAGAGCACATTTCTGCTGTTTTAAGCGCCCCAGTTTGTGGCAATTCATTACTGCAGACCCAGGAAGCTAACACACCCTCAGCGTCACTGATTTCATTTTACATATGAACAGAACAGGGTGAGGGTCACGGCTGTGTGACAGCCCCACCTTCTGCCTGGTGGAAGCTGCCCAGAGTCACAGGTGGGCTACGGCTGGCCTGGGGCAGCTGCCATCCAGCCCCTCAGCCGGCACCCTCCAGCCCCCGCCACTGGGCTCCTTTAGCTGAGGCGGAGCTCCGCTCCTGGGAGGGGCGTGGGTGGGGCCCTTTGATGGGCAGCTGCTCCACACCCTCTCCCTCCCCATCACTTCGGGCCGTGAATTGATCCTATTTTTAAAACCTATTCTGCGAGGAGCGCTGTTTAGTAGAAAGCTGTTCAGTACCAGGCACCGGAGAAACACAAATTCTCGGGTCTGGGCCTGAGACAAAGCAGGTCGTGCCCCGGAGAGACAGCACCAGTGTCCCCAGGGAGCAGTGACACCACCAGCCCTTCCCGCAGACGCGCCACACAAAGGGACACGGGAGCCTGCACCGACTGGCCAGCTCCACAGGGGACCCTCGCTGGGAGCACCCAGGGCTGCGCCCCTCGCAAGAAGCCCAGCGAGGCTGGTCACTCGGCGAGGTCTCCCGGTCAGCTGCCGAGGGAGCTCACTGGCCTTCCCACCCCGCGCTCTGGGCCACCCACTCACGTGGCCGCTTTCTCTCCACGCCGGGCCGCAAGGGCCTGAGGACCCCGCTCACGGCAGCACCCATCCAGCTGCGGTGCGGAGCTGCAGGGGCACAGCCAGGCTGCAACCTGGCCCTGGGTGCCGGGACTCCAGGGGCAGGAGATGAAGCCACCGCAGGGCCTGGGCGGCTCACTGCCGGGACAGCTCTCAGCCAGGGGTGGAGGGGACCGGGGTCATCGTAGTGAAAGGAGGCACGGATAGGGCGATGACAAAAGTGCCAAAGAGTAAACCAAGGGGGTGCACGCAGAGGCACACGCACACACACTCCTGTGCACGTGCACAGCCACACACTTGATCACACGTGCGTGCGTGTGTGCTCACACACGTGCTTACACACACATACCTGCACGTTTGCACATACACACGCACACACTCCACCACTGTGCACAGGCGCCACAATGGGGACCAGCTGACCCGGTTCACGTCCCGCATCTGTGTTTGGGAACCCGTCCCTCAGCTCTTAGAGCCTCTATTTTCCATCTGAGAAATGGACACCACTCACTCTGCGGAGTCAAGGCACCAGCACAGCCCCAGCCTGGCACACAGAGGCCCTCGGTGAATGCCACACGCCCGCAAGCACAGAGTGGGATGAGCAGGGGCCTCGGCCTGGGGCCTGGGACCTTCCCCATCACCACGACACCCAGGGGAGCGTGCCCGCCTCTGGGGTCAGCCCACCCCTGCCCTCTTCTGCCCGTAGTGGGCCCTGCTCACTACAAGGGCCACTGAAAGACCCCCAGTGGGGCCCCTCGGAGCCCACCCCACCTCCTTTTCCGTCCCTCAGCGGGGCGGCCTCCCCCATAGCCCTCAGCCCAGTTCATTCTGCTCATGAGCAGCCCGGGGACCCAGGGGACACAGCCCGGCTTCTGCGGAGCTGAAACCCAAGAGGGGAGACAGTCAAACGCTGAAAAAGGTCGATAAAAAGAAAACTGAGGAAGAGCTGTTCAGGGGACCAGCACGTGATGGCAGGGGTAGACGGCATGTGGGGGCGGACGGCATTTGATGGCAGGGGTAGGCGGCGTGTGGGGGCGGATGGCATTTGATGGCAGGGGTAGACAGCATGTGGGGGCGGACAGCATGCGATGGCAGGGGTGGACAGCATGCGATGGCAGGGGTAGGCGGCATGTGGGGGCAGACGGCATTTGATGGCAGGGGTGGACAGCATGTGGGGGCGGACGGCATGCGATGGCAGGGGTGGAC